GGTGTTGGCGTTGAGCCGGGTACGGTGGTCATTAGCACAAACGCGATGAATGGCGAACTTACCGATAAATATGTACAATGGATAGGAGGAAAGAGGGTAAGCGTTAATATGAAGGATGCTGAGCTAAAATAAATTTGATAGGCAGCTAATGGCAACGGTTTTAGGTAGAGCGGGAAACATTGCTCGACGAAGATCTACGTAAAGATCTTATTTCCATAGCCGTAGAGAAGCATATTCCTGTGGAAACTGGCTATACATTATGCGCAGATGATTTCTATGAAGGTCAGTTCTGAAGAGAAATTCAACGGATCTCACTTTATTTTTAATTGTTGCAAATTTAGGTCAAATGCGCCTCGATGGATTCTTCTGCGAGTACAAGCCGGATGACAAATTCAATTTCCTTAGAAAGATTCACGAGAAGGGAGTTCGAAATATTGAAATGGAAAGCACGTGCTTCGCGTCGTTAACGTACCGTGCTGGCGTCAAAGGTAGGTTCGACATTTAAATGAACCGCCATCAATACTATTTATGAACTGTAGAAGAAGCAAAAATTTCCATTATATATTCTCACTGAAGAAATTAACATGTGCAAGGGTTGGAGCACTAACTAGCCAAATTCCGAATACGTCAAACTTCATAAGTTAGCGCAAAATATCATTAAAAGATTAACAGATCTCGCGCTTAGAGAACTTACGGGTCCTTCTCGATGCGGGACAAGGAGACTCATTCTACGAAGTACGTAGTCGATCGATAAACTAGATATACTTTTGTCTACCTTAACTCCAGTAAAAACTCTTTTTTTCACAGGATATTGTTTTTCGTTCTGAACTAAGGGCACATACCTGTTTTATCATCACACATTGGCATTCCCAATCTGTCGGTTAATTAGCTCGTAAACTTCCTTATTTCCAACTGATGAACGGTTAGAAAGTTCATGGACATTGCGAAGAGTGTCTAATCTGCTTGAGTTGCAAGGCAGTAAACCCTCATTTCATGGTAGGTAATGGGAAGGAATAGAGGAACGACAGAGCACTAATGTAGCTCAATTCTAGCTTTTTTAGTTTTGCTTATATGGATATGACCAAAAGCGATCATGCACAACACTTCGTATGCTTCCGAATAAAATCCTACACGGCACTATAGTGTCTTACTGTAAA